TCGGGGTGGGGGATGAGGAGGCGGTTCTCGGAAGCCAAGGGAGTGCCAAGGATCTAACTGTGGACCCAAGACCTGGGGAAGGGGATGAGGATATGGATGCTGCCCCATCCAGAGCCGACCCCGCCCCTACCCTGCGTTGGCCACGCCCCTCCGTATTGACCCCACCCCTGTCTCGCTGCTAACCTCGCCCAGTCTATGTCTCTCTGGGTTTAGGATAATCCTGGGGCGCCTCCCCACCCCGACCACGCCCCCATCGGCTGACTCTCCCCAAACTCCCATCCCTCCCCCGCCATTCCGACAGTGTCACTGGGTAGATTCCATGTGCCCCCTTCTTTGACTCGGTCCTCTACAAGACCCCACTTCTGCGGGACTGTGCCATCCCCAGGCTCAGCGCTCAGTGTCGCCACGTCCCCAGCCTTGCGTGGCCCTGACTCAGTCCCCCACCCCAGAGCTACCCCACCTCTGGCCCCGCCTCCTAGCCCAGCATTGCCCGTGACTCCGCCCCAGCCTAGCACCACCCACCCATGGCCACCCCCCCAGCCCAGCATTGCTGCTGACTCCGCCCCCAACCCAGTGCCACCCCACCCTGGCCCCGCCCCCTGGTCCAACCTCGCGCCCGACTCTGCATCCTCGCCAGCCTTGGCCCTGACCTAAGCTCAGAGCTATCCCACCCCTGTCCCCGTCCCAGCCTAGCATTGCCCTGATTTCACCCTCAAGCCCGGTGTCACCCCCTACCGACCCTCGTGTCCCCGCAGCTCCGTAGGCGAGGTACAGTGGGAGGCCGAGTTTTTCGCGCTGCAGGACAGCAACAACAAGTTGGCAGGCGCCCTGCGAGAGGCCAACGCCGCCGCAGCCCAGTGGAGGCAGCAGCTGGAGGCTCAGCGTGCAGAGGCCGAGCGGCTACGGCAGCGGGTGAGGGTACCCCTCCATCTGAGAGACCCCCACCTGGCCCAGGCAACTGTAGAGGCCGCGCCTCCGCAGTTCCCATCTGCCCTGGGTTCATGGACTGGCTGTGTGACCTCAGCAGGTCACTGACCCAGCCTCAGTTTCTTGCTCTGTAAAATAGGTCTGAGACAATGCCAACCTCAGAGGGTGCTCAGACCCTGAAGTCCAAGCTGTGCAGAGGGGGTGGTGGCACCAACCAAGGGAGTTGGGTGCTTGGTCCTGGGAGTGGCCAGACAGGAGGCAGATTTCCTAGAGGTTGGGGGAGCAAGGGAGAGTGCAGACGGGGGCGTCAGGGGCTGCTATTCCTGTGTCACAGGTGGCTGAGCTGGAGGCCCAGGCAGCTTCAGAGGTGACCCCGGCCAGCGAGAAGGAGGGGCCGGGCCAGGGCCAGTCACTGGAGCAGCTGGAAGCTCTGGTGCAAACCAAGGACCAGGTGAGTGCCAAATATGCTTCCCGGGCCTCACTTTCCCTCACCTCCTGCGGGAAAGCCAGGACCCCCGCAACAGACCCTGGGAACTGTTTTCCTCTAGGAGATTCAGACCCTGAAGAGTCAGACTGGGGGGCCCCGTGAGGCCCCGGAGGCTGCCGAGCGTGAGGAGACTCAGCAGAAGGTGCAGGTGTGTGTGGGCAGCAGGAGGTGGGGTGACGGTGGGTGACAGTCACCTCAACAGTCAGGACGATATCTACCTAAGACGATAGAGTATTGGGAGGCCCAGGCCCGTGGAAGGCCTGATGCCCAGCAGGTGCCGTGTGAACAGTGGCTATTGGTACAGTTTCATATCCATCTATGGGTTCAACAAGCAATGTTGGAGTCCCTGCTGCATTGCCATGCCAGACCCCGTCAATTCCTCCTCTTCTCAGCCTGAGGTCACAGAGCCTGCACTGGAACCAGGTCTGGCTTGGCTTGGCTTTTTTTTTTCCTAATTCTTCTAGATGGAGTGGCGCTCTGTCGCCCAGGCTGGAGTGCAATGGCACGATCTCAGCTCACTGCAACCTCCGCCTCCCGGGTTCAAGATTCTCCTGCCTCAGCCTCCTGAGTAGCTGGGATTACAGGC